AACATTTTGAGCTGGAAAATCACGGGAATTATTTCGTTAAAGATTTCACAAGAGGCATTAAGGGGGTCTTAAGATGTGAAATGCGGAAATGAAGATGCATGATGCATGATGCATGATTCGCGAAAGTGCATTTTCTAATATTGCCGTTGGTCTTTTAGGAAGATTTATAAACGAGTTAATAATCATTTTTATTTCAGCAGTAATGTTCTACGGGCATTTTGTCGTGGTAACATATGCGATTATTATTTTGTTAACGTAACCTCTTAGAAGGCTGTTATGCGTTTAGTGTATAGGTATTTCATACTACATGTATATTTTAGAAATTTGCACGAACTCAGCCATTTATGGTGGCTGTGGTGTAGCTACAGGGGGCACGAAGATGCAAGTGCCCCAAATCGAATGGCGGAATAATATTTAAAATGATATATATATATATATATATATATATATATATATATATATATATATACACAGTCAAACACCAAAAGTGACCTTTGTAGACAGGTGGTCTTTGTAGACAGGTTCCTTTAGTACATGATTCAATGAGAAACCATTTTCAAGGGAAACAACAAAGTGGCCTTTGTAGACTGGTGATCTTTGTAGACAGGTGGTCACTAAAGCAGGTTTGACTGTATTATGTAGAGAGAGGGGGGACAAGAGAGAGACACACAAACACACAGAGGGACAGAGAGAGAGAGAGAGAGAGAGAGAGAGAGAGAAGGGGGAGGAGAGAGAAACGGTAAGGGAGATGGGGTAAAAGAAACTTGGAAATAAAATGATACGACCATAATTATACATCCTTCCCCTTCCCAGCCGACAATTTCATTCTTAATTGTATTCAATTCTCTTAGAAAGGCTGGTGCCCCTACCCCCTAATCAGAGTCTACCCCCCCTCTCATTTGGTTGACCCAGGCTAACCATTGCACTGCGGCATCTTTGTATGTTTTCTTTTGTTATTAATTCAAGGTGGATGATGGATGAGACTCGAATTATTTAAAAAGAGCGCCCTTCTTCCTTCCTTTCAGGAGATTAGCAGTAACAACGATTCATTAACTCAACTTGAATATTACAACAAAAACAAAGCGCTCAGTACGACTTCGGTCGGGGGTTCATTGACTCTGTATAATTAATGGCAAAAATGTGGCGATCGGATTAATAGCGAAAGAGTAATATAAGGATGATTCCATCTACATCAATCCTGGTGGTGTTAACTGAAACAATAAACGCAATCAAGCCAATTAATGCTCGTGGCTATTCTCTCTAAGTGAGAAGCGGTTCATTTGTTTCATAGAGACGATAATCCTTCCAACTTTGTCGAGTCTATAATTATGATGGAGCGTTTAATCACTCGCTGGATGATTAAGATGTGCCAGAAAGCACACTGTTTCCTTTTCAAACCACAATGCTTGAACGAGATTTTAAAAGAGGTGAAAAGCGTCAATGGTAGGAAGTCAATTGTCATTTCCCAGGATATACGAATGGCGGGTGACGAAGGAGAGGCGGAAAGTTAGTGTCACGCTGAAGGAACCCATCTTGGGAAGAAGAATCGACGAAAAGATGCGGGGGAGAGAAATTGATGCGATTCTCGCTGGGAGATGTAGATTAATCCGGATTAAACAACGGGATGGCTAGGAGGATGGAACTGGGAGAGCTGAGGAGAATGCCTCGGCTAATAAGTCATTGAAAAGCAATCGAATGTCTGTCTGGTGTTTCTGTGATGAATGAGAAACATAGGAGGTAATCAGGATAATGATGGTAGTATTGGTGAATAGCGGCGTTACCCTTTGAGGAGTAAGCTAATGATGATGATGATGATGATGATGATGATGATGATGATGGTGATGATGATTAGTATGATGATGATGATAATGAACATGCTTACGATTATTATAACTATGATAATAAACAGGGAACATGGGGGACAGTCGAGGCAATGATGATAGTACAATGTATTGGGAATAGCGGCGTCTCCCTACGATGATAACATTAATGATGGCGAAGGTGGTGGTGGTGGTGGTGATGGTGGTGGTGGTGGTGGTGGTGATGGTGGTGGTGGTGGTGGTGATGGTGGTGGTAGTGGTGGTGGTGTCTATGGTGATGATAATGGTAATGATTCTGCTGCTGCTGCTGATGATGATATTGATGTTTCGGATAGTTAGGATGCAAGAGCATAATGATGATTGATAACGATAATAATGATGATGATAATGATGGTGATGATCCATAATGATGAGGAAGAAAAGATCCAATGGACATAATGGACGATGCTAATGCTGGATGTTTTTATTTACAATCTAGAATAAATGAAACCTATTATGAAGACGCAAATCAAATATTTCATTTTACACGCAATGTGCAATTGATTACAAGATTCTATTTTCGTATTATGATGAATATTATTATCTACTTGATCATCCTATCAAATCTAGCATAAGTATGATCGACGCTGATTAACTTTAATATGCAAGGTTGCCCTAATAATCTTTATGACGTCATCGATCAGCCTACCGACTTTCAACGTGGCGGTAATAATCATTATAACAAGTACGATTATAACGATCTCATTTTATTGGCTAACTTATTGTTTGCGCCGCGCACATGCAGGAATACCGTATAGTAAATCCGTATCAGATACGAAAACCTTGTGCGTGAATTAAACATCAATGTTCCGAAAGATCGGACGACTTTTGGCATTTCGTAGTGACATTTTGTACTCTAGATGAAAACAAAATAATCCCAGGATGAATACTAGGATTGACATATTTACCCTTCTCGCGCTAATTTTATTTTATTATTCGACCGTTTTTGTTTTACCTCCTCACGGCACGTGCATTGGCAACAAGTTAAGCGTATCTCGCGTCGGACTAGAAACACTCTTTGCCTTGCTTGTCCGGGTTCATTTTACAACCCATAGATCATTTACAGCCTCGTCCTTAATATAGGGCACGAAGAAAGAGATGCAGCATTTATAAGATCAACTTTCAATTTTGTTGCCGTTCAAAATTCGGTCAATGCATGCAGACTTCTGTGTGTTCGCTTTTCTCTCCATTGCCCCCCCCCCCCCCCCTCCTCCCAATTAAAGGACCCTTTTTTTCTCTCTCTCTCTCTCACTCTCTCTCCTCTCACTCTCTCTCTCGCTCAAAAAAGATCTCCAATCTCTGAAAATCTATTTATTAGCGTGCTAAGTTTTCCCATAAATCTCAGCCGTAACAAAAATTAACAGGGGTTAATGCCCCGTGTAAATCTATATACTAATGTATTCAGTATCTACTACATTTATCTATCTCTCTCTCTCTCTCTCTCTCCAGACCTTTACTCAGCCATAGTCTATCATCATCGCGTGCTCTTTACCCCGTCCTCTCCCCGTCTCTCTCTCTCTCTCTCTCTCTCTCTCTCCCTCCCCTACCTTTCTTTCTCTCTCTCTGCATATATTTCTCTCTCCCTTCATCCGCTCACCTTCTCTCTCTCTCTCTCTCTCTCTCTCTCTCTCTCTCTCTCTCCATTCCCCTTTCCATCCCTCTCTCCCACGCATAGTATACCTCTCCCAGTCGCGGAGGATCTGTTCCCAAATCTAGGTTGACAGATTACCAGTTCGCGAGTCATGTACCCGCTATTTATTACAGGTGATTATCGACATACAGCCAGCATGAAATGTCGGAAGTACACGCCAGGCTAGCCCCCTAGCAACACGGGAATACCTCACAATATCACGTGATACCATCCCACTCGCAGCTATACATGAAAGCTACCGATTCAAAAGCGTTCCGTGAGGGTCAACATGTTGTCAAACATCGCGGCGGGATGTTTTTAAATACGGTATCACTGTTAGTGTTACGATAAAACAGGGTATTTTTCTTAACTTTCGTCTGTTCTTTCCCTTGTTTAATGATAGGAAGCTACAGATGGCGCTGTTCAACTTAAAAACCTCTTTGTCGGAATATTTTTTGTAAATGCATCATAAAAGTCCTTGAAAACAACTTTGACAGCTAACATGATAATCTGCTGCAGGATGTATTTACATTATTTACCAATCAATATGTCGATAACGGGAACTAATAATAAAGTTTAGGAGTTGTTTTACGATACAAACATGACGAAGTATAGTAGTAAAATCTTTGCTTGCACCATCTCTAGCTGATACAAGTTGGTTAGAGATAGATTAAAAGATGACAAGGATTTATAAAGAAAATGAAATAAAAACAATACTTCTTGCTCACATTTTACCTGCAATAAATAGTTCGAGAAAAACAGCCGATATGTAACACGGGGGAAATGGAAAATGAAGGCTATTAATATGATCACAACAAAGGTCGCCTTTAGAACTAGAGAAGAGAAAGAAACGATATATTTTCATGTCCATATTTCTATTTCAATATATAATGCCTAAACTAAAGAATCTATTTGGAAGTGTAGTTTGTTTGATGTCACTGCATGTACTAACATTCATATAAACTTTCTGTAAGTAGAGGGAGCCCTTTCGTTTCATGTACTGGGTACATGAAGCACTGTCCAAGACTTGGGGGGGGGGGGGGGTTTGGGGTATTGGATAAATGAATGGATGTGCGGTTTAATGTCAATAGAATAGGAATTGTATTCTGTTAAGATTAATATGGTGAACAATATTTTTTATTACGTGATACATTTCGTATGAAAGGGTACAAATGCACAAAAATGCTCTTTGCTGATATTTTTCTGTTTTTTGTACAAGGAGCTGGTTGGTGGGTAGTACTAAAGAGGTTATGTATGACAATCCCCTCAAACAAATAAAATAAATAAAATGAATCTGGTGGCCTTAAAGGGCCTGCAAATCTTACACATGACGACTTTTTCTCTGCTTGGAAGATGATCTTTTGAAGTATGCTTGGAATTTGACAATCTGACAAACTTTTATTATCTGAACCTCTTTCTCCAAATTTTTGTTCTCATCAAAACATTACTGCCGAACCTCTACTAATTCTTACAAGAACAACAACATATACATGAAAGACACACATTGTTGCTTTTATTTTTACTCATATATTCATTTATTTTGAATGATATTCACAATACATTTGACAAATCAAATGAAATACACAATTATTATTTGGATATACCAGTAGTGAAGCTAGTTGCATACTTTCCACATAAAAATGCTAGCATACATTTTAATATCTAATTTGCAAGACAAAATCTAATCTTTTACAGCATTACTCAATACAATTTGTTGCAGGTTAATATCAACATTGTGGGCTTATGGTTTGCTACATAAATTCATTGCAAGGTCTGATTTCAAGCAGTACATACATATAAACAAAATGATGTCTTGTATAGCTGTTTTTACAGGCTATTCATCAATATTTTGCAATCACACACTCTAATTGGACACTTTATCACAATTCCAGAAGCCTTGGACAGAGCCTTGGAGTAGAATTCTAATACTTGGTTTTCAAAATGAATATCTGACATGATTTTCAACAGACTGCATATGATGGCCACATCAGATACAATGAAATGACTTGACAATGACATATATACTATGCATAGTACGAGTAAGGGAACATACACTGATACAGATGTAGCATATACAAAGAATATGCAATACCATTACCGGTATCTATTTCGAGACAAACACATTTTGCAGCATTTGGGGATTGCTTTGTGGCACACAAAAAAAGCATTGAGAATGTTAATCAAGCAAAGAACCATTTTTTAAGTGATTTAGAAAGAATAAGCAAACAACTGCCTTGAATTCCACTTCTTCACACATGCGACATCTCGCATGGACAATCACTTATGTACCTGCAGCACAAATACAGACATTTTCAAAATAAGTATTATATTCAGAATCAAATACAATCATTACTGTCATGTATTCAAGGTATAGAAGAAACAAATTATTTCTATGAAAGTGAAGCCAAAGAGGGTACATTTTTGTGGCCATGATATTGAACTAACAGGCATAGATTCAGTGTATCAGAAAACAATTTTCTATTCATAATACATACCGGTATATAACTTTCAGAAATATGCTGGTACGATGTAGTTTACTTGTTCATAAGTCGTCGGCCGGGTGGCAGAAGGGCGTTAGCGCGCGAGCGACTCGAAAACTACTTGTCAAATTATTCTTATCTAAAGATTTGTTTTATATTCGAACTGCTTTCCGTCCCGAAAATTGATTTAAAACATAAAAGACTAATAAAAATGTTGTAGTAGAACAGGGCCACAATTTTTTTCTCGGAAATAAGTCAGTTTTATAAAAGTTTGAGGCGATTTAGTGCTAATGCCCTTCTGCTTAAAGTTTCACTATTGACCTGAAATTCAAGCTAACGCCCTTCTGCCAGCCAGGCGACGAAGTTTGTATGTTTTCTTATTTGTTTGTTTGTTTTATCCTACCCTGCATAGATATGGGCATTTCATATATTGAATGCATGCACATATTTCAAATTTCTCAGAGTGTGGAAAGTTAATGCTTAATACAATTCTTCAAATGCATCCAAATGAGTAAGGACTGTGCATAAATGTGACCCTACAACAGTATTTTGTTTATTTCTCCCAACTCCTTCAGGTAAATATTTTGATATAACTGGTATACCTCACAAATTGGGGTTCCCTATAAATCAAGCAGTTAGCCATTTTGAATTCACCAAATCAAATCCTATCTGTTTTCTCTTTGGGTGTTCCAACTCAAAAGCTGGTCATCCATCTAGAGGTTAGTAATGATGCTTAAAATAAAAGCACATTACTTTCATGAAATTGAATATAACAAAAATATAGTCAAATAAATGAAGTAAGGCAAAGAAAACTGTTAAATGTAAGGCATTACGCAAACAAAATAGAAGTGTACCCTGAATCTTGATTTATAAAATTATATTAACATCCACCAAAATACAAATACATTTATTTGCTCAGAAATAATATTCATACATTCCTATGAGCTTTATGCTTAAAGTATTACAACACAGAACAGACAGCTAAAAAACACACCTTGAAATGCTTGATTTGGTAACCATGGCATTTGAAGATATGATGGAAATGAAACATTTGAATAATAATAATAATAGTGACTTCAGACTTGACACTCCTTGCGCTCCACATCATTACAAAACAATATTGGTACAAAGTGGCAGCAACATTGCAAATACATACATACATACAAGCAATGTTTAAAAAAAGTTGTATTTATGGTCCTGTTTCATTATCATGTTTTGTCCAATCAAAAATATCATAATGTCCAAATGCACACACAAGATGTAAATTATGCAAAAAGTTTACATACATGGCCCTGAAAAAAATATGAAATACATGTATCTAGTAAGGGCAAAGCCTTGTTAAATATGACAAGAAGTCATACATGTACATGTTAATTGCAGTCAAGCAATAGATGCATGCCATATGAGAAACATTTTTTAGGTAAATGGCTGAACAAAAAGTATCTGAATGAGAGATTTGACCGCTATAGGAATCATATGATAATAAGGACATGCGATTGGGTACATCATTTGGGAATGTCTTCCTGCTACCTACATGCACACTAAACAACTTTCTGCATTTTTAAAATAACTTCTATACCAAATTTAAATTCCTCACAGGACATATTTTATCAATATTAATTTAGTGCACTGTACTGATGTTAAATCTGGGCTCCATACTATTTAAATAATGAAAAAAATTGATGTTTCAACACATTTGATATACCCTATCTTTCTCTGTTCTCTCTATTTCCACAGCAATAAAATCTACAACTGACAAAAATAAACAGTTGTCCTTTATAGAGAGGTGGCCACTGGGACAAGCTTTAGAGTACACATATTTTCAATACAGTTGCAGCAGCATAGGAAGTCTTAAATTCGTAGTTGTGACCCTGTATTCTTTGGACGACAAATAATATTTGAATGATGATTCATTTCTTGGTACATTTGTTTTCTTTTTACAAAATCAAACTCCTTCTAAATCAAGGTTCATCACACTTGTTGTGTACACTCACCAGCACCTCACAATTACATATTTTAAAGCTTTTATATTTTATAGAATGTACATGTTTTTTTCATACTATATGATTTTATCATCATAAACACACAATCACAGCCTCATATTGAAATCCAGCCTTTCAGGCTTATAGCCTATGGACGATCCTTTCTAAGGGTGAATTACACAATAAATCAAAAGCATTAGAGAGAGTCTCCTCTTACTTTTAATTCCATCTTTAGAGGGTGCAATAAGGGTGAATTGCTACATCCATCATTCTCTCCCTATCTTCTTACTCATATACAGAGGTGCCCCATTACATTGAATAACCCCCAATCATACTCCCCAGGGAGCGGGGCATGCACACTATCATGGGCGAATTAGCAATTGCATCCAATGACCAGGGTAATGATAATTACAATGTATAGCGTTTAAAAACGTAGCATTAAGCGCCGTACACGTGACTATTATTACAATCATCATGTGATTTGGGTAGCCTCCACGCTAGTGCATATATACATATAATTTAAAGCTCACTTTGCGACAAATGTAATCCACAGCCATATCATAGGATAAATAGGAATTCTTTGTACTGTGGCCTTGCATAATACTGATGAGGCAAAATATGAAATAATCTTGCGCATTACGAAACAAACATCTGGCAGTTCTAAAGTGTAGAAAAAATATGTGCAAGGGTGGGTGATTAATGACGACTGAACCTAATGAATCTTTCTCTCCTTGATAATCGTTATTGCATAATCACGATGCCTGAATCTTGTGAAATCAAAATGACAACGTCCATCTGAAATAAGAGCCAGATATTTTCGCAAATTTTGTTCTCTTTTACTACCCGATACCCCGGGGGCTCCAACAACTAATACGTAAGACGATTTACAGGCTTGTTGCCAGGATTGGATCAGATATTCTTTGAAATACCGTCATATCTCCCTAGCAACGGGGTTTAGCCTTGTTGACCAGGAGTTTGGACCTAGCTTACAGTGACCTGCTCAGCTGTCTCCATGTCTTCCACCGATTTAGACTCCTTTAACGTCTCCTGAAACAAAGAGAACAAACAAACAAATTATAATGAAAATTTGATTAAAAAACAGATAAAATTAAGATAGGCTTAATTTGAAACTTACAAGAATATTATCAGATAAAAATATCTCTCTGCCTGAAAGATTTCCTCTCAGCATACTAAATATAACGTACATGATGTAATTATTTGCTGAATTTGATACAATTTCCTTTTCCTTCTTTTTTTGTAGGGGCATCATTAATTTCACAGCTTCAGAGGATCATATTCATATATTTCATTATATTTAATTGATTTTATTTAATTAGATTAAAACAGAAATTTTGTGGGGCACATGGCTATGGCTGCTATCTTCATCACAAAAATTATCATAATCACATCAATAGTTTGATATTACTGACAATCGTTTTCATAAAACCTGAGCACAAGTGGGCTATTAGCAAAGCCAACATGATTAAGAATCATTTTGAGATCATGTACAAGGCCATGAAGTTTACACATTTCAATAACCAATGCACACAGTTACAGAACCTCGCATGAATGCAGAGAAAGGGGGGGGGGGGTAGGTCAAGAACGTTCTACAAGCTCAAGGTTATATTTCATTCTTTGATAGTCCCTTTGTATCCAGAGGCTTGGATAAATGCCCACTACCGACCTCAAGTTTAGACCTACCCTTTCCATGCCATAAGCTTATTAAACCTCTCTTCTATTTCTGATACTATCAATTTTTTTATCGGTCTTTCTCTTGGCGAAAAGGTCTTTGACACTTATTCACCAGACAATAAAGCTCTATCTCACCAGATAAGCCGGTTCAATCTAATTTGAGACACACTCACGTTGATATGGTACTTTTATTAATCTAGGGTCAATTGGAGGTTATCATCTAAATTACAGCAGGGCTGCTATCCTATCTCTATTGATTTATGATAATACAAAGCTTTATCAACATCATGGTGTGATGCGACAGTCAAAGTATCAATGTATTTCAGTGCCATAGACAGCAAATGCTGCTATGGTCTCAAGCTAAGAGTATATCGAGGGTTCAGTCACACGAAGACGTAACTCCATTTTGGGCATTTGGAGAAAAAGTGGTTTATGTGTCACTGACCACTTGGGCCTTCAGGAGTTAAGTCTATGTTTCACTAGCCATTGACTTCAATGGGGTGTTGGGTAGAGTTAAGTCTTTGTGTTTCCTGGAAAGCCCACATTTTTCTGAACATTTTGATATCAAATACTCATTTTGGCAGAATATGGAGTTACGTCTTTGTGTCACTGAACCCTCAATATATTGTCCTGTAATAAAAAAAAAGTACCTTTATTTAAAAATTTGATCCCATTATTATAATAACCCAGTTTTTCAGTGAATGTCAAGGAAGAGTTGATTTGAGCTACGGTTGACTGAGCTACGGTTGAACTGTCTTTGATGCATCGCGTCTATGTAGGTCAAGAACCCAAGTCCTCTAGTACTGGGGATGTCATTGAAACAACTTGTGACAATAAGTACACTATCCCTACACCTTAATTCAAACCCAATTCTCACCCTGACCCTGTATCTTTGACAAAAGGAACCCCAGAGCAACAAAATACCTTGGATTTGCCAAGCCCTAGGAAGAGTCGATTGGCTGTATTACCTGGATGATCTGTTGGCTATCTACAGCCTGCTGCTGCGACACCGAGCTACGGTTGTACTGTCTTCGCTGCATCTCGTCTACGTAGGTCAGGTACCACGTGCCGGGGAACAGGTCCTCTATACTACCCTGGGGTGTGTATTTAGCTGGAAAGTGAATCAAACAGAAAAGGTTTCACTTCACAATAAGCCCATACAATAAAAAGCCCATACAGAGACTATAACCTTAGATCAAACTGTTTCTGTTCAATGCCAGTGATGACTTTGTGCGAAGATATCCAATCCAATCCAATCCAATCCAAAAGATAATTGATTTAGCGCCTTTTCCTTGCAGTTACAAAGTGCTGCACACTTGCTTCACAATGTTTGGGCCACTTTAAAACAAAAGTTAGACACTTCTCAGTGATCAGTCAAGTATAAAGTATATGTAGGCTGGTGATAAAATTATTTCCATCAGAATAGATGTGGCTTAAGGAGTTTCTTGAACTGGTCAACAGATGCCTCCTCCTTGTGGTGAAATCATGCCTCCAAGTGCATCTCTAAGAGACAGAATTGAATACAGGCATGAAGGGGTTGTTAAAATGTACTTGGTGATCTCAGCTTGCCTCTCAACGAAGAATGAAAATGAGCATTTATTTTTTCGATATTTTAATCATGATGGCCTGGAATAGTGATCACAGGAGGGGGGAAGGGGAGGTGCAAGGTATGAGGGGATGTTTAAATCTGGTTTTCAACATGTATATAAGCAGTTCAGGTGAAAAACTATAGGAATAAGTGTCTCACTCAGTAAAGACACCATCTACAAAATTATAGAAAGAGTACCGGTATGTCAAAATGTAAATAGTGCCTTCTAAGTTAATCTCGCTATTCAATTAGTTGTACGTCATCTTTACAAGTCATCATTACACCAATCCCTTACCTAAATGATGTGTGTCCTCCCTGAGCTTCATGGTATCTGCAAAGACTCCTGGTTTGACACATCGTCTACTCTCCAGCCTAGCCTCCAGGTCGTTGAGGCTGTTCCTCACCTTGGCCAGGGGAGAGCCAGGGCTGGCATCCTTGACCACACGTATCGAGTAGAGCGACGAGGCCATGCCAGAACCGTAGGAGAAGAGGGCGATACGCTTGTTCGGCAATTCGTCGAGAGGTACACTGCAAGGAAATAAAAAGTAACGGAAATGAACCTCCATGCTCATTAGCATTATCCTCATTCTTATCCTCATATAATTGTCCTCATCGCCATCCCCATTATCATCCCGTAGGTCCCCTCCATGTGGGTCAGGTCTCCTCGTTACCTGCAATGGACCTCTAATAATACGCATTCTGCTGCCAGATTTAGAGCACTCTTTGCATTATTTTTTAGCAAATTTTTGAGGGAACAGAATATGAAGAAGACAACAAATCTGAAGTACCCTGGCTATCTAGGTTGCTGTAAAATTGTCATCAATAATAAAGAGAAACACCAGGAAGCAATTATTTAACAAGTCTCAACATGACTTCAGCATGTTACATAAAACATAAATCAATTGTTATGTCTAGACCGAATGTTTAATCACAAAATTTACAAAACATACATACTCCATGAAGTGTACCTAGGTAAAGTGTCCGAAACTATGCAATTGCTCCATACCAATAGTCAGTAGCTCGGCATAAGAAACACCATCGAACCAGAACAAAAATGGATCATTCCAAAACAGTACTCACCTTGCTATGTAAGAGACCAGTCCACCGTAGAGAGAGGGGGTGTACATATTGCCTACTTGGTTAGCTAGACGGAGGGACGGGTGAGTCTTCTGTTGATACACCTCCTTGCTTGCAGTCATGAATGCCTTCTCGACGTTCTTGTCAAAGAAGGTGTCTTTTAATTTCACATCCCTGTATAAGATAAAGGACCAGAGGTTGAAGAAGTTTAAGGAAGAAATTATCTCATTTAAGCCACAGCTGGGAATGAGTTCAGCAGTGGTCTCATAACCGGGAGGTCCCAGGTTAAAAACCAAGTTAATATGCTTGTGCCCATTGGGAAGGAACTAATCCCCATTACCAAGTCCCTCGGAGAGGACTTAAGGCCATTTTTTCCCTTTGTTGCTTACTTACAAGCATATAATACAGTATGCTTTCTTAGCTGTCTGGTAAAACTATCCTCCTCAAAGACCACATATATCAAAGATATTGATATCGTAACAAAAGAGAGTGTTTTTTGCATTCATTGTATTCAAGTGTAAAACAAATGCCATGTCAAGTCATAGAAAATTGTAGTTTAAATGGCTGGTCACTTATCAATGTTTTGATAGTGATAATAATTCAATCATTACATACTGTATATGTATAAAATGTATGGTGCTACCATTTATACAAATCAGCCTTCAGCATTCATTTTTTTGACATGTGATCAGCCCTTAACCTAACTATAAATGCACATCAAATTAAAACGAAATTGCCCAAATCAGGCACTATGTAGCAAGACTCTCAGGACAATCTTCACTCCTAAAACTCAATGACAAGTTAACAAAGTGGTCTCAAAATTCAAAGAAACAATTCCGCCAGTCCTCACCTGAAGGCTTCTACGCTGGCATATCTGCTGCCCTCTGAGGTGTCCGGTGAAGGATCGTGGAGGAAGTCGTTGAGTACGAGCCTGGCCAGAGACTTCTGGACCAGCTTGCAGAAGGGGGAATGGAAGCACATCCCATCGAAGGAATCTACCGTGATCCTGCCTGCTTCACCGACTGTGTCAGAATAAAAAAAAAAAATCAATTTCAATTTTTTCAATTTCAATTTATTTATTCAACCATAAAAATACATATACAATTATAATTCGTGAACATGTAAAAACATGGGGTTAGGAGCCCCTGAAGAAGTTTGAAAACAAACTGGTGATTGGGGCACCAACCATGACACATATATCGAAAAAATTAACAAAAATAACATTAACTGGAAAACAAATATATACAAGAAAAAAAATTATAAAGACCTATATGAGGATAAGACATTTACAGCAAATCACCAGCAAAGGACACACACAAGACACAACGTCAAGCGACACTGCGTCTCTAATGGTACATAAGAAATGTTTTCTGCAAGACAAGTAGTCCATGGTCAGTGGCACATACTAAAGGCTAGACGCACTTAACTACCACCAAAAAAATACACTGCAGTTTCTTCACGAGCAAATGTATGGCAACTGTGCGCAAGAAAGGCCCTACAAATATTAACTTAGCCATGTTCTGAAATATGAAATGTGTCAAAACACAGTTGCTCCATTATACAAACAAACTGTGGATTTAAACTACAAACTATAGCACGGTGTCCTGGTTAAGGTATGAACTCACCCTTCTGCAGTGCAGCCTCTGCCTTTGCGATGTAACGCTCGTAGCATTTGTCTAGGGCACCGAGGTAGCACTGGATGGAGAGCTTCCCATCCACACGTGGGTATTCTGAAGACATGTCAGGCTTGTAGAAGTCGTACACATGCTGCATGTGTGTGCTTCGAAGACCTGTATACAACAAGCAGCAACGTGTATTTCTGTTGTTAATCTTCTAATCGTTTTGACTAAAGGCAGATACATTCGGTTGAGGTAATGATATGGTCAGTACATGTACTCTGTAAGAAACACTTTAGGACAGAGAAGTCAGAACCCTCGCCAAATATTGCACACATACACATATATCTCATTCCAAGACATCACTTCATTTGATGAATTTCATGAAGAATTTTATGATTTCTCCTACAATGTACCTATTGTTTATCTTGATAGACGTACAATGTACAATAAACATAAATATGCAATTTGCTTTTCAGAAGCAATTCTTTTGTCCATTAGCTTAATTATCTTTAATCTCTTTTCATTTTTTGAGTCATCAACTTTTATAGATTTGGCATATATTGGTCATTTTGGAAGAGAAATTTTGGGCTCTACACATGTAAATTTACAATACCCCTTCAGCAACTCCCCTACATACACATAAATGTCCATCAAATGTAAAATAAACATGAATCGAATCCCAAAACACTTGCCTCTTTCAATAACCAGCGGAGCATGTGGACCGACCAGCATGGCGACAGCTCCGGCGCCCCCTGTTGGTCTAGCATTGCCAGTGGCGTAGACGGCAATGTCACCTGCAACAACGAGGGCATAACGACCTGCAGAGGAAACGGATCAAGAGGGGAAGGACACAAAGATTATTAACAATAATTAACGATGATCATTTTAATTAGGAATAAAAGTGAAAGGCTTAAGCAGTGTTTATGGTGTCCTTTGATAGGCATACTGTGTCAAACCTACAAAATGTATCTACAGTGTATTAAGGTCACCAAAGAGAACCAGAGAGGCCACACATGTACATGTTTGGGTTTTGTAGATAAACAATCTCTCTGTATAGGTTGTATATATATATATATATATATGTACAACACCTGTTTCTTCTGAGAGACACAAAATTATAGTTAGTAGGTAACTCTAGACTTGTGGCCTTTATAGAAAGGCTGCCACTAGGACAGCTTTGAGTGTATTTTTTGTGACTTACCTGTACATTTATATGATTAAGTTGTCAACTGTTTTACATACATGTGCATGTACAGGGATTATTCATAGAGCATTTACAGACGTGTCTCTAAACTCTCTATACATTTCAAACAACATATACTTCTCTCCCTTCTCCCCTTTACGAAGGAGACTCGCCTTTTTCAAGCATACATGTACAAACACTAAAAAATGTTGGTTTGATCAAATTGGGCATTCAAATAACCCACTTGACTTATTTTAGCTATGGGACAGTACAAGAAATGCCTTAGGACCTATTCAAGACCAACTGGTAATTCTACTTTCTTTTTTTCTTCAACATGCAAAAAACAATGAAGATTAACTTGACTTTTCATGGCTTGGGAACTTTAATTGAGTACGACCCAAAATCATATAAGAGTATGTTCAGAAAACATTTAACCTAAAATTGCGCTATTTGGGTCTGACTTGCACCAGGAAGACAAGGAGACCTTTGGGAAATTGGGCAGAAGCAGACAATCTTGATAAGCCTTTTGAGTGCTTTCCTAGACAAAATCAATGACCAATATATGCACTTTCGAGAACCTAAATCAACAGTCAATGTTATACCTAAAAATACAAAAATGTATGCCAAGATAGTTTCCTGTTATTTGACAGTGCAATCTTCCTTGGGGAATTTCACTTTGCTATCAAAGTCTATTGTGTTTCAAAAGGTACAGTTAATACAGTGTGTATCTAATATTTATTAGCCTTATTAGTTCACTATTGAATGCGATTAAATCACTGAAGGTAGACGTGTTTTTTAAATATTTTGATCTGTATCGTAGATGTAGGTCTATGACTGAACCCTGCTTGTAAGAGACAATGCCACTGTGCTCGTTTAAAAAACCACAACCTTGTTTTATGGCCTCGTTTTCTTTGTCACTTCAGTCATCAATTATTCCTTGTGTTATGATATGTAACATTTTGAAATGATATAGGGATTTGTCAGACAAAACCAATACTGCATGTAAAAGTAAATAAATTGTACAGGCAAGAATATTGTTTTGTTGATTAATCACGTGTACGATCTATTAAAAGTGGTGACATAAATTCATAATTCTGACCATATCCCAAGGTGTGTTTTTGATTGCTTCAATTATGTTGAGGTACTTTCAAAGATTATGGGAAATTGCATTTGTTCATAAAAGACCACAGAAACCAAATGGTTAATGAAATAATAACCTTGCTTAATACAATTCAAATATGTGACTTGAATCTTCAGCATGAGCTTATCTTCATGTTAAGACACCAGGCCTATGACCTACATGTACAGGAAATTTAGGTATTTTTCATTTTTCTTCTTTCTTTATTTTTAGGGGGGGAGGATGTACATGTCCTTAATATTCTATTTGAGGAAAATCACATTTGTTCTAGAAGATCAATACCGGTATAAAAAATGAATGCATGACTAATAAGATAGCACTATCACAAATAAAGTCATCTGATCAAGCAAAAATAGCAATACTCTCTCAAAAAAACTTTTAGGCCTATGACCTACATATGATGTACATGTACAGGTACAGGCGAATATATTTAGATAATTTTTTCTTTCTTCTTCTTTTTTTGTTTTTGTTGGGGTGTCTTATCAAATGTACACTTTTGTCCTTAATATTCTATTTGAGGAAAATTGCATTTGCTCTGGAAGATCAATATTATATGAATGACACGACTAATAAGATATCACTATCACAAATAAAGTTTATTGATCAAGCAAAAATAGCAATGCTCTATCAAAATAGCTTTTAAAAGCATGTCTTATCACTGTCAATGAATTAATAAGGTTGAGAAACTTGTAATGAAAATAGAATTAAAGATAAAGATTTAATTTGGGAAGGAGTTTGTTTACATAATTTCTGATTTAGCAAATATGATATTTTCCGCAACGGCCTACATGTATTTGAGAAAAATTGCATTTGCGCTGTAAGATCAATATCAAAATGAATGACATGACTAATAAGATCGCACTATCACAAATAAAGTCAATTGATCAAGCAAAAATAGCAATTCTCTCTCAAAATAGCTTTTAAAAGTGTGTCTTATCACTGTCAATGAATTAATAAGGTTGATAAATGTGTTGGCTAATTAATATAGAATTATAGATTAAGATTTAATTTGGGAAGGACTTTATTTACATAATTCCTGATTAAACAAATATAATGTACCTGACACAGATTGATGAAACATATAGTTTGTCTTTGGTTGGAATGCTTTATCAATATTATCTTTAAAATTAAGATAAAAAGTAGTGCCATACATGTATATTTTAAGCAACTGCCTATCGAGGCAAATTGCATTTGCGCTGTAAGATCAATATATGAAATGAATGATACGACTAATAAAGATAGCACCAGGCGCGGATCCAGGATTTTCCAATAGGGGGGGGGGGGCCGGAAATTCGAAATTCGCGCAGACCGTTATTTAAACTTACCAATACTGACAAGGTCATATTAGAAGCACTGTACTTTAATAGTGTACTGGTACCTACAAACGGGCACAATTATTTTGGAAAGGGGACATGCTCACGTCACATCTCTTGTCCGATATCAACATTCCCCGTTTTCAAGTTATGCACGCGCGCAATTTTTTTGACATTTCCATCAGTGGGGGCTGAAGACTCTTGCCCCAATATCTATTTCCTGGTTTAATAATTTGGCGAGTGAGCGGAAATTTGAGCTTACATGTATGTATGTTGTGAAAAGTGTTAATTGTCACCAAAATATACGAGATAAGATATTGTATAACAAATGCATATTGGTAATTTTTAAATTTTCGGGGAAAGAGAGGCTGCAACACCATCCCACATTAACTGCAGGTGTTTTGAAATCAAATCAGACTCCCCAAAAAAGTATTAACCAAAACGCACAAATCCAGTTTCAAAAATCCAAAAAAATGTCAGCTTCAGAGGGGGGCACACCACCCCTCAGACTCCCTCTAAAAGTATTAACCGAATCGCACGAATCTAGGTAAAAAAAAAAACAGCTTCAGAGCTAGAGAGGAACCCCCCCCCCCCCCCCAAACACACACACACACACCCCCTGTGCGCACAAACGTGAAATTAACGCTGGCGCTAATGCGTAAGCAGGGGCGGCGGAGCTATTTCCAAAGTGGAAAGCACCAACAAAAAAGGGCACCTACAAAGCGAAATCTCAAAGCGAAAATATACATTTTTTTTAGACATTGGTATATACCCTTTCATTGTGATCCCATTATCAGGGACGATTTCAATATTTGTTTTTCTTTATATATCATACAAGTTATTGCTTAGGCATCACACTTTCGGCTGAGTGTGATTGTCTGAATATTCATTTGCGAGCAAGCAAAGCGAGCAGGAAAAAAATGTAAGATCTGTGAGGTCGCAGAGTGAAAAATTACATCTTATAAAGAGGAAAAAACCAAATCATGATGGGGTTATAAGCATCACGGAAGACTGAAAAAACATTTGTTTTAAAGTGACATATAATTGTATCATCTATAAATGCAAGCGAGCGAGCGAGCTTTAGGGGAAATTACTCTTAGTCGCTTTAAATTAGGTGCAAGACTAAAGATGAGCAGGTAAGGGGGGCACGTGCCCCCCCCCCCCCCCCCCCCCCCGCGTGATAGCCTTGCATTAATGAATCCTTTATATAATGTTGTCTTGAGAGAAAGTAGACGATTTTTTCTTTTAAATTGGAGATTAGTGCAAGTATTAGATATATTGGAAATAGAATTAATGAGAAAGTTATTTTTTATCGAGATCAATACATGGGGGGGGGGGGGCACCATCAAAATAGGGCACTTTCTGGAATATAAGGTGCACCTACAAAGGGAAACATCAAAATGTAAATCTACTATATTAAGACATTGATAGACGTACGCGTAACGCATGTCACACACAGAAAAATGAGAAGAAAAGAAAGAACAATTTTTTTTTTTTAAAGATAGAGGAAAAGGAGAGAGACAGAGAGAGGGAGAGAAAGAAAGAAAGAAAGAAAGAAAAAAGAAAGAACATGAAACTTAACTTTACACTTAGGCCTACATATTACATTTCCGACTGAGTTGGCTCGACATGTGCTTAAGTAGTCTACGGACGAAAGTACAACAATACGAAAACAGAAGTTATATGAAATTGTCTTTAAGAGAGAAAGATAGGTTAAATTCTAAAATGAAATGAAAGGGTTTATGTGACTCTCAAGGAGGAAATTACAATTTCTATTGCTCATGACGACTATTTGGAATTTCCTAATTTTTTTTCAAGTTCAAGAATTTCCCGGGGCTCCGCCCCATGCAAGACTTCCGGCAACAGCAAATTATTTACACAATTTCTTGCTGTCTGCTGCCTCGAGATCACTGGAGCGAAGAAAGGTAACATATAGCAAGAATCCCTATTCAGTGAAGGATTTATCCCTTTTATTATTAAAGACTCCCGACAAAGGCTCTCCCCCTGCAAAATTGGAGAGAGTTTTATGTAGTTTAAGCCTCTACCAACCACGCCCGTGGACCTTTTATTATTTACACAAAGGTAAAAGTGTATAGCAAGAATCCCTATTCAGTGAAGGATTCATCCTTTTTATGCAGATGCTTCTTCTACCATTCTTGACCAGAAGTGCGTTTCAAACTCAATGATATGGGCATCATCCCACTGAATGTTGTGTCCAGTGTTACGGGTTTGTTTTGCTACTTGCTGCCTAATCTGAGGGCTCTGTTGTGCTCTTTAAAAAGAGGACACAATAGGGGCGGCGCAATTTAAATATCAAGGAATGTATTAGGGTTTATTTCTAAAATGAAATGAAAGGGCTATTTGACTTTCAAGAGCGATAAAAACTCTAATCCATCCCTTGAAATTTAAATTGCACTGCCCCCATTCAGTGTGCCATTTTCAAAGAGCACAAAAAGGCTTCAGATTCAAGATTCCATCTCATAAGATTGTCTATAAGAGAGAAAGAGAGTTTATTTCTAGAGAAAAAATGAAATGAAAGGGCTATTTGACAAGAGCCCTTTCATTTCATTTTAGAAATAACCTCTCTTATAGACAATTTTCTCTCTTGAAAGTCAATAACCCTTTCATTTCATTTTAGAAATAACCTCTTTTTTTCTCCTAAAGACAATTTCTCTCTTGAAAAGGCTCTGCCAGACCCCTCAAGCTCTGCCATGCTGTATGGATCCATTAGAAAGCAAAATAAGCCCACTCAATAATTGATATATATTAAAACGTCATAGCGATTCATCCAAATAAGAAATCCACGTAAGAGGCATTTTGAAAGTTTTAAGAAAATTCTTTTTAAATTCCAGGATATTGGGTGTTCTTTTTCAGGAAACTCTATTTAAACGAGTGGAAGCACTGGCGGTTCTGTATTTTTTTAAACTGTAACAATTCTCCTTGGATCAGATATAGACCAAAAACAAGCCTCATTATCTTCAGTATACAAGTGTCATTTCGGACCTTACAGCTTTCATAGAAATCGCTTCTGGACCGTCAAAGAAAAAGTTTGAGAACCCCTGGTCTACGCATTATACACATCAGGACCAACTTGACAACTTGACAAAAATTTGAGGGGGGTTCGACCCCCCCCCCCCCCTGCGTACGCCCCTGCATGTGCATCCCTTCCTCCTTATTCCCTTATCCATCGTTACCGTCACTACCATTTGAGTAGGGCCGGCCCCCTCCTTAATAACGACTCTCAAGCCATCAAGAATGACCCCATAATTTATAGATTACCATTCTGCCGTTCTTTGGAGGGGCCGGGCGCGGCCTTTTCAGAAGTGTTTCTACACTAACCTTTTCATGCACTCCGGCTTAACATAAACAAGCATGCTAAGATTGTTTTGAAAAGAAGCATAATTTCAACTCAGTTTCGCATAACCTAAAAATAAGAATACGGCCAGTCACCCCTCCCCTCCCTCCCCTTAATGCATCCACCTTCACGCACACCCCTTCCCCTTGTCTTTCCCTTATTTGTCGTTACTGTCACTAATTTTTAGTGCCATTTCGTTGTCTTTCTTTCTCCCCGGCTCCTCTCTTCTTTTTCTTTCCTCTTTTTTGAACTCTCTCTCTTTTCTTTACTTTTTTGTTCTCTTTTCTTTTATCTTCTCCTTTTCCCCCCCTTTTTTTTTTCCTTCTTTTTTTCTTCCTCTTTTTTCCTTCTCAATTTTTTTGCTTCGCCAATAGGGGAGGGGGGGCGTGGCCGTTTCGGCCCACCCCTGGATCCACCACTGAGCACTATCTCACATAAAATCAACTGATTAAGCAAAAATAGCAATTCTCTCTCAAAATAGCAATTAAAAACATGTCTTATCACATTCAATTGTCAATGGATTCATAAGATAGAGAAATTTGTTTGCTAATGAATATAGAATAAAAGATCTAATTTGGGCAGGAGTCTATTTACATAGGTCCTGATTCAGCAAATATGATGTACCGGTCTAGTGTCTATTTACACTGATTTTGTCTTGGTTTGAAATGCTTTTATCGGCATTGATCTTAAAAAATAAAGATAAAAAGAAGTGCAATGCATTTCTAAGCAGCTGCCAATTCAAAGACATAGAAACAATGCAAGCAACCATCATCATGATAAACCACTGAAAGAGTGGTCAATTTGTAATACATATTTTAATGGGATTTCAGTGAACTTTCCTTTTTAATAGTGCAATTTGTCACATGTTACCGACCACATCTAAGATATTCATCTGATGACAGTATGGACCTACTAGAACTTGGAACAGACTAAATATGAAGTAATATGAGATATTTATTGTCAATTCATGTTTGTAAACTCCATAGTACTTGGAAACATATATGGAACACATAGTTACCAAATACCTTGGACTTCCCAATTTATTCCTGATGTGGTTAATCATCATCATCATCAAGTACCAGGTCTCAGAGATGCCAACCACTTGACACAAAAAAACAGACAGAGTATCCTAAAAAATCCGATTTAGGAGAGAAAAATCAGATTTTCACGAAAACTCGACAGTACCACTGGCCCGTCGGCCCTGGGACAGTAACATTTCAGAAAAATGTTTTGCTGGTAAATACGGTCAAGTAAAATGTTTGCTCTTTCATTAAAATTTAACGAGAAAATTTAAAGCAAAAGTTTTTGGGGGGGTTGCGGGGTTTACTTGTATATGTTTTTATGAGATTCCGCTGTTTTTATGGGTTTAAAAAAACGTATTATAGTATTTCACTCTTATTATCGTACTAAATACGATTTAATCGTACGGGTTGGCATCTCTGGGTCTATTTAATACAGACATTGGTGGTCATGGTTCTCCATTTCTGTCTATAATATGCCATTTGTAAAGAGCTGGTGTTGCTGATTTCATTTTTGGTTGCTCATTTGTTCAGGCTTTGTAGATAGACGTAACAGCTTTCCATAATTGTTAAGTCCAACTTAGAGATAAGTTCAACCTAGGATCCTTGTGAAACACCCCCCAGGTCCTTGAATAACTCACCATCCCAAGCACTGGACTCTACCCATGAGAGTGCATTGAAGAGTGCGGCGGTGCCTCCATAACAAGCATTGGTGGTATCGATTCCTTCCAGGTCTGTGTTACCAGAATCTTCAAACAGCTGCATCAGCACCGTCTTGACGCTCTTGGACTTGTCGATAATCGTCTCGGTACCAACCTACCAAATTGAAATTTAATGGATATTATTAATTTTCATGCCAAAGATAAGGATGTCCCTCTTATTTTGATTAGAATTTTGTTAAGAGTTGTTCTCATGGAATTATGTCAATTGACATTGTATGAAAGAGATATCTGCTGTTAAATTTAATTATCTGAACATATTATCATTACAGTCAGTTAAAACAAACACACCAACCAAACCAACCAAACTAGCACTCTGTTCCAGTAAATTTCCTTCATAAAAACCCTGATACATTGGGAACTGTTAAATGTAATAAAGTCTGAAAGAAAAATCTTGGACTTGGAAACTGGTTTCCAGTTCTTTACTGCTATACTCCAGCAATGGCATACAAATAGTACTAAGAGATGACAGGTTTAAATGCTACTGATTTACTAAGTTCTTACACTAATTGCTAAATCAAACACTAGAAGAGACGTACTATTACTACAAATTAATTAATGAATGTAGTGCTCTCAAAAGTTTATGAATAGCATTTCCTTCTACAGCACAATTGTCTATTATAAGATGATGACGTGGATCCTAATCAAATGATTGGTTGAAAGCGTACACGTGACCAGGCATTTATTTTGCCTAACGCGTAATTTGGGTAATGACCGGTCATTATTTAATTCTAATGACCAGTCATTAGTAAAATCATGTTATAAAACATCACTTTACATAACAAATAAAACATAATCTTATAAAACAAATAATACACAGCATTTTATTCAAGCAGTAGTAAAATTACCCACACTCGGTACCTTCAAAACAGTCCAAACACCCTTTGCAACCGTCTCGGGCGTGTTAGACTGTTTCAAAGGTACCTTGTGTGGGTAATTCTTACTAATGCGCTCACTGCTGTTTATTATTTGTATAATAATCACCTCTAGTCTTCCAATGGCATCAAATGGAATCTGGTTATTCTCCATCAGGTTCTGAACGACCGTCAAACAGAGGGAGTTGATGTCCTCCCGATCGGAGCAGAACCCCATCTTGCCTTGCCCAAGACCGATGGTGTACTTGCCCGCCGAGGCCCCATCAAACGTCTCCAGCTCAGTCTGGTCCACATACTGAGAGGGGAAGTAGATCTCAAGGGCGGCGATGCCGACGTTATCTGGCCAGTGGCCTGAGGGGCTGGTCATTCTCTGGAATCCAGGCATGTTGAGTGTTAAGGTTGTGGCTGTGGTCAGAGCAGAGATAACCAAAAAGAGAAAGAGCGAATACAATTACTACTAAAATTTACAGTAATGACACTTGTAACTGAAGAAAATTAGGCTCGTTTAATTTTTAGGTCTACAGTCTATAGACCCTATCTGATCTAAGTGGAATCATTAGATGTTCTTTTTTAAAGCACAGCCTCCCAGGCAGTTCAGATTGACATGCCCTGCAGTCTTTACCTGATCTAACCCTGATCTAGATCCAACTTAAGATCTACTATCGTTGTCAAACTGCACTCATTTTGACATCATTAATACCATGCACACTATGATCGAGGATCTGAGACATTACGGTTGATAACTTCACACAGGCGCGCGCCTGCCTGCTACCCACAATCGGTATGTACTTGTATTTTGCAGCGGTTTGCCGTGAAACCTGTGAAAAACTGTACGTTTATCCGAAAAATACTCCAAAAATAACAAGAAATTGACACGAAACAGGTAATAAACATAACAAATTTTAACTCATGATCTTTATTTGGACATTTAATGAATATTTACTTCATTTTGGGTATGTTTTAGTAGGGTATCTCCACGCCGGAGTTATGGGTCAAATTTTGGATAGGTTTCAGAACAAGCACCGAAATCCCAACTTATTGAAATTCTTTCAATTGATTTTTGTTTAAATGCAATGGAATGCAGCAAGAGCCAGAGTTGTAGGCCTAGATCCTTCATCATTGTTCAGCATTGATTATGATAGCATCCACATGATTCACCGGCAAGAATCTAAATCTCTAGATCTACTCTCAGTCATTGTCGACGCTATTAATATTATTTTTTAGCGTTTATATTCGCGTTACCCCAGCCGCGCCCACTAGAATGGGCCGTGGCGCGATCGAGCCCGCAGCCCGTAGATACGGCCGAGCCTAACGGAGCTGACTAGATTGGTGTGTGGCAGCCGGCGCGGCTTATGCTTGTTTAAAAAGCACGGTGATTCTACACAAAAAATATGCGGCCATGGCATCAATATCTATGATAACATTACTTACAAATTATAGCTAAGAAGATCCAAAATCGTCTCTAGAATCAGAATGATTACTTTGCAGATCAGAGTCGAGTCAGCTGGGATAATTTTGTAGTAGGGGTCTCGTACATTCACCTCGATCCACACACGTTTATGATGAATGCGTATATGCATATTCATAAGCCAAGTGTTACGTATAACAAATTTTGTTTTAAATACAATTCAGCAATATTTATATTATTTTGCATTCATAATAACAACAAAATTCATTTCATGTATAGCAACTATTACAATGTTTCTTTGTGTATTATTAAAATACTAAAGCTGACTTTTAGAACGTCCTTGATGATGTGCTGAAAGATTGGCAACAGTTTGTAATGAATATTCATTTTTAAACCTACCAATGGCGAGGCTTCTTGGATCGTGCGAGTACTTCTGTGTGAACATGATTCTGGTACGATCGCACCATCTCTTTGTATGAGTCACATGCGTATAGCCATGGTGCCTTGATATGACAAAGTCACAACACAATGAATTAAGGAAAAACAACAACAAAACAAAACATACAGAAGAGGGAAAAAATCGCCCAAACTGACGAATGGCTAATTGAAAGAGAATATTTAGTCTTAGGATTAATTCCTGAAAAACCTTTACTATTTATTTTCTCTGTCCAATTTTAAACCCTTGATTTTACCTTCTGGCGATATGCCACGCCCCTTAATTGCCCCTCTGCGCGTTATTGGCAGAAGTTACGTGGAGAAAACCCGACCTGGGAATTGTCACAGTACACTGATTCGTCCATCTTATGCAAATAAGTATGAGAATGGATAGAGATCAAGGGTTTCTTCAGATACCCTTTCAATATTCGGTGTTCATCTCGTTCGTTTCACACTTTTTCTTCCTTCCTTCCTTCCTTTCTCTCTCTCTCTGTCTGTCTCTCGATCCCTCACCCCGTGTCGCAGCCCCACCCCTTTTATCCTCTCTCTCTCTCTCTCTCTCTCCTCCCTTTCCCTAGCCCCCTTCTATCCAGGCACGTGGAAACGGGAGGGGGGCATTTGCCCCCCCCCCCCCATTTTTTTTCTCCAAGATCGGTTGAACTTTTTAAGACCCCTCCTCAGGACGTCAATCGATTACATGTATGTGCCCCCCCCCCAAAAAAAAAAAAACCCATCAAACTCTGGCTACGGGCCTGCTTCTATCTCATCCCCCTAGCTCGCTCTCTCTCTCTCTCCTCCTTCATCTTCCCATGTCTCCCCTGGATTTCAAATCAAACAAAGAGATTCACGGGTTTATTTCAATCTTCCTTTTTTTATTTAATTTAGAATCATGTCGACTGCTCATAATATGACATTCACATCAAAAGCAGCTGTTTCTGTCATGCGACCAAATTATGCATATGCCTTTTTGAATCGCCTCGATACAAATTTTTTCATTCACCTGTTAAGAATAAATGTATTTTAATAGTTAGAATTCAAATTGTATACATGAATTGGTTGTTGTTATATAGGACAAACAGTATGGCTTGCACAGTGATGCAAATATAACTTTAAAAAAGTGTCACATGACACCATTTCAGCTAAAAGGATACTTGCTAACAAATACATAGCTATCGTCAATCTATACAACTAGCACATCATATTCGTTTGTCTCCTTTATAAATCACAGTGTTGAAATATCTAAGGCACTGCAAACTTTATTTCAGTAATTCATGATCATCTGATATACATAGAAAGACCTATAGCTGTTTAGTACATCCTTTTTTATGACGCAATTCAGAATAAACTCACATATCTGAGCGATTTGCATTGTATAATATGAAAATCAGAGTGGATTATAAAAATGACATCACTTAATCAGGAGAGGACGGTGATCAAAAGACAAGGAAACAGAATGCGCATAAGAGCCTACGTTTGTGTCTTATAAGTCACTCAAGGATGCAAACTTACTCAAATATAAAACTTATTTACAAGGCAAGTACCGGTATGGAAAACACACACATTTATCATACCATTGCATAATCATAATGATGCGAAGAAAAGCCTAGAATATGAATCGTAAAAATGATTGAAATCCAATACTGAATACAATATTACAATAAACATGTGTCGTACAATAATAGCATATTTACATGTACACTGGAATGATGTAACGAAAATCCTGGAAAAAATTTCCTCAAATGGATTTATTATATAGTACTGGTGAATGTAGTTAAACATGTACAAACAATAATCCATGTCAAATTAAATATACCACTGATATCTCAGGCATGTTAGATTGACAAAAGAGACATGTATCTGAAAATTATAGCAGCACATTTACATATACACTGGAATGATGTGAGAAAATCCTGGAAAATATTTCCTCAAATGGATTTATTATAAAGTACTGGTGAATGTAGTTAAACATAATTAATACAATTATCCATGTCAAATTAAATATAACACTGATATCTCAGGCACGTTAGATCACAAAAGAGACATGTATCTTAAAATTATAGCAGTATATTTACATATTATGTACACTGGAATGATGTAAAGAAAATCCTGGAAATATTTCCTCGAACAGATTCTTAAATCTAGAACTGGATGTAGCTCTAAATATATAAACAATAATCCACATCAGACAAAATGTTACACTGATAACTCAGGCCTATACCCTTACCAGACAAAGTTAGTTTTCAACTAACCTATTGAATAATATGAAGTTTGTTGACATGATAACTAGAGCAATTTGACTCTTAACATCTGGGTCATTTCTGTTAACAAATTCACAAGTTAATTTTGATTCTACTTAATTATATTTTTATTGAACATGTGCAATGGCATTGACAAATATAGTGACGTTTCGATAGGATAATTTGAAATATTACATACTTAAACTCATAACTCACTTTGTTGTGACAGTTGAGTGGTATTTCATACATTAAATACAAATCACCTAAAACAAAATGGTAAAAGTCTACAATACACATATACTTGGTAAATGCACTACATAAAATGTCTAATTAATGCACTAACATCCTTGAAAAAGAAGAAAACAGCCTTATTCAAACATTTACAAACCGCCGAAAATTACCCCCTTTTACCCCAAACTTCGTGCTATCAGTCCAGGGCTTGAAACCAGCAGGTGGACACCTAAATCTAGGTCCGGACCCCCAGAATTTGAAAGCTTTTACTCAGGCTCATGCATACAGAGTGTAGAAAGTTAAATCTAAACATCTTTTCCTTCCAAAAAAAGTTAGTGTGGAGCCCTGTATCATGCATGGGTCACTGTCTTACTCTAGACCTCATATTTTGATTTCTTCTCTGGAATTCCAGAATCATCCTGTGGAACGCTCGACTCAGTACAAGGAGGTTGCCTCTTGCAAGGCCTTACCCGAATGCTGCTACCTTCTGAGTTGCCTGAGTTGGCCAAGACATACGAGTCATTCGAGCTGCCCAAGTCAGCCGAGTTGGCTGGGTCATTTGAGCTGCCCAAGTCAGCTGAGTTGGCTGGGTCATTTGAGCTGCCCAAGTCAGCTGAGTTCTCTGGGTCATTTGAGCTACCCAAGTCAGCTGAGTTGGCTGGGTCATTTGAGCTACCCAAGTCAGCTGAGTTGTCTGGGTCATTTGAGCTGCCCAAGTCAGCTGAGTTGTCCGAGTCATATGAGCTGCCTGAGTCATTTGAGCTGCCTGAGTCATTTGAGCTGCCTGAGTCATTTGAGCTGCCTAAGTCGGCTGAGCCATCCAAGTACCATAAACTTGGGTAGCGCTGGTCGGTCAAGCTGTAAAGAAAACAGATTTGTTTCTTATTATCTCAATGAAAGATGAGAAATGAAATGTCAACTACTATTGGTATTACTGAAAGAACCTGTCTCAAAAACCATTTTGATCAGTGAATGAAGTAGAATGAAGTAGAAGAAAATAAATAGAAGAGAACACAGTGTAACAAAAATATCAAGAACACCACCAAAAAAATATCACGATGAGAAAAAAAAAGGTACACACGTTACAATTTCCTTTTTAAATCTACAAATTTAAGGTTGAAAGCACTATACAGTAGGGAATATGTTCAATAAAGCTGTTACTGAATACTTAGTTTTGTCAGACAAATTTGTTAAGGTACCGGGTACACAACATCACTTTACCGCATGCTCCCTGCTGGGGTTTGTATCATCATTATATAATTTCTTAGTATTATATTAGAGGATCTTTATATTGTTTCTGTATGCACTCCCATAAACAGGCTACATGCTGTTATCTGACATATATGCCTACTGTACTAACCTTTGCAAACATGTGAGGGTGTTGAGAAATGACTTTAAGTCATCTTGGGCAACATCATTGACCCTGAAGTTTCCCTTCCTGATCTGAGGAAAACAACCCTGCAACATATAACAGCAATATTGCTTGTAAACCTTGTATCAGTAGGTATTAGTGGATCTATTTCATTCTGGCATATAATCTATTTTCTTGGGAATATACACCAAAGAGCTACAGTAACATCCCATAAGTTAAAGAAGTTTAGAGAATTAAAAACAGGGAGAATAAGAAGAGAAAAAAATTGCACGAGAGATTTACAAACATTTCAAAAATAAATGGATCCTATACCTATTGGATTTCATGAAAACCTATAATATTAGTAGTACTGGTAGTAGTATCCACTATAAGCAGTAGTAATTGCAGAAGTAATTACCCGTTAGACAAATCTTTGAACTTTTTCTCGTACTATTAGGGGATCAGAGAACAACAACAGAGAACAGGAGAGCATTACTTTTACAATTCAACCCTAAAAGGGCTTGGGTGGGTGGAAGCTGCCTCCTTTCCTGTTAGCAATGTGTTTGAGAATAATTTATTTCCAAGATCTGTTCTGACTTAATAGCCTAGAGTCTAGAGCATCTCTGATACTAAATTTATAGAATTAAAATATTGATTACCTGTACTGTGCAGTGTCAAGAATGATTGCACTGCATGTGCACAGCAAATATAGACATTTACCCACAAGTAATGTACACAATGCAGAATAAACAAGATTAATGCGACTACATCTCTGATACGACTCCCCCTACATGTATGTTCATTGATCAATGATCCAGTGACCTCTAACATCTGACCTCACGAACCTAAACTCTTTTCACTTAATCTGTTCATGCCCACATATACCTGAACCCAGTTTGGTTGTATTTGTTTCAATTTTTTGTTAAACTTTTAGACTAATAAAATATTTTCTGGGATTTGTTACATTTTATGACCCTGTTTTTTTTTTACCTTTGACCTGTTACACCCAAAATCTAAAGAGTTCATCTTTACAGGCCTATATGTTCTTGAGCCAAGATTGGTTAAAAATATTTTACTAACAATAAATTTATGTGATTCCTACTTGTATGGCCCTGTAACCATTGACCTTTCACATCTCACCCCAAAATCTTATCACTTCATCATGGTTGTTTCTTCACTGGCTGTCACCTTTTCTGTCCCATTGGTTGCATACCGCATAAAAAGATGGACAATTTTGTAATTCTTGAATGAAAAATTTGTGACTTGTTTGCCCAAATATGTTGTGATAATTAAGTTGAATGTGCTTACCCGGTAGATAAAAAAAAAATCATGATAACAGATATGCCTATATCCGACGAATGAAATAACAAGATTAATGCAACTCCATCTCTAATATGCCTCTGGCTGCATAATGATCAACGATCCTGTGGCCTTTAGTATCCAACCTCACGAACCCAAATCCTTTCAATTAATCTTTTCATGTTTGATCAACATTTTTTAGTAATAAAATATATTCTTACATTTTTTAACACTTAATCTTTCATCTTGGACCTCATGGACGTATACATGTACACCTAACATATAATCAGTTCATCCTTGTATACCATGTACGGTACACACACCACCCCAACTTCCCTGGGGTCAATTACTAATACTGTATATAAGCCAATATTTTTGTGTATATATTTTTGTGCGAGTTGTCAAATTCATGTTAAAGCCACAACCACTACCAATTATACAGGATGCCGCTTCCACCACCAAAAAAAAAATGGGACTAGTGTACTTCTCATAATGTGAGGTCAAATTCACTAGCACCAGTGGAAGGAGAATCTCTTCACATGAAAAATGATACCAAGATTGACAAATTTTGTATAGGGATTTTGGTTTTACGGATTATTTTGTGAGGCAAGGTACATGTAGGTGTTCAAATTTCTTCAGTATCAATGAAAGTGCATTTTAAACAATACTTCAAGACTGGTCATTTTCTCAATATCTGCGTTTAACAATTTATAACAAAAAAAGAGAAAAATGTGTGTGGACGTTATGTATGTGTTCAATCTAATATTTATTACAGCTCTCCAATGCAAGGCCAAGACATAATGCCTTTTCTGCAAAAGATACATTCTTTTCTGCAAGGAGCACTGCCAATGGATATCTGCAATTGTTTCACAAAAATGCATCTAGAATAAATATACTCAACCAATTTTTGCAAGTTTTGTATAATTTTTCGTTTCTAATATTCCTCATGAAATTTACCCCAATATTATTGGAAGTAGGCTAGTATGTTTTGGGGCCACCCTGTATACTTATCAATAATTATCATTCTATTCCCTTGCTCCTGAACTCATTACAAGTGGCCCTTTTCCTTTTTAATCACAACCACTTCCCCTGCTTATAAATGCCCTTTTTCACTTATGATAAATGCCTCTTTAAAAATCTGATAGGTGCCTCTTTTCTTTTAAAAAATGCCCATTTTGTACTCTGGTGAGTGCCCCATTTCAGGTGTGAGTAGTGCCTTATTTTTTACCTCTGATAACTACCCTTTTGCTTTAACATTTGCTTTTCTTTTAAGTGTCTTTATCCCTTTTTGATAAGTGTCCCCTTTACCTTTCACCATAAAATGTGCCCCCAATTTTAAGCAACTAAGAGCAACTTTTTCTTTAATTCTCCCCCTCGCTCGCATTTATAGTTGATGTAATAATGTTTCTTATCAGAGGTCTTTTCAGTCTTTCATGATAAGATTGTTTTGACTGTGACATACTGCCAACATCTTTCCAATTTGTTCAAACACATAAAATGACTAAAATGTCAAGTTTTCAAATTCTATGACCCCGAATGTCTTTTCTTTCTACAGAGCCTTTAAAGATAGGCTATCCACAATTATTTTCAGTAGTCCCCCAACAGAGAACGTGCTTAGGAGTAAAACACTTATTTGATATTTGTGTGCATGACGAACAGGAGAGTTATCTATGGGTCTGTCACAATTCAGTGACCAAATTGCCAAGCGGAGATTTGCACAGCTTGCGTTACTTTTTTTTTTAATAATAAAAAAGTGTATGGTTCATGTGCACCATATAATCATTACTGCTGTTTCATTCTTTCAATGAGGCTGTTCACACCGCAATGAGATAGCGCGGTCTATCGTAGCACCCCCTTTTTTTCCAGCGCGCGCTAGACCTTGCTATCTCTCGTGGACCACTCCCAAGAGGTGCTCCAGTGGCACGCCGTTTTGGCTCGCCGTGGTTCGCTGTTCGGCGGACCGAAAAGACGTTGTACCTTCCAAACCGCAGAGATATCGCGGTCTAGCGCGCGCTATCTCTGCCGGTGTGAACAGCCTCAATGACCCTGTCACATACCTGTTTGGATGATGCCTCTGCTTTCAATATAGAGTAGAACTGCTCATTGTAATCCATGTGAAGTGTCAGGTCAGTCAGGTTTGGCATAGAACACAATGCTTCTGCAAGGTGACGTGATGAGGCTGGTGTGAGACAATTCCATGGGTCCTCGATATCATCAAGCTTGAGAGTCTGGACCTGCATTCATGGTATATATAGTTAAGCAGCACGTCTATACAGGCATATATGTATTTACTAATACTAATTTCCCATTGCATTCTTATATTTATCACCAACTGTATGCAAAACATATTCACATTCACATTCTTAAAAAAGACAACTAAATAGAGTTTTTTTTCATTCAATTCTTCTCACTACAGTTTCCATCCCCTCTTTTCTACACTTGAGATGATCTCGCTCTACTTTCACAACCACCAGCATATGCAAGAAAAAACATCCAGACTCAGTGATTTTGCCCAGCAAATTGGCTTGAGGTGATGACCCTGAACATCTCGGACCCTCTACCAATACAAGCAAACGGGGAAGACCTACCTATAACTGAGGAGTTTACTTACCTGGGCAGCACTGTCAGGCATGATGGAGGCGCAGGCAAAGACATTAGGAACCGTCTTAATAAAGCCAGAAATGTACTCAAAATGCTCAATAATATATGGAGATCACAGCTGTACAGCACCAAGACCAAGCTAAAATTGTACCAGAGCTGTGTCCTTTCCACTCTCCTGTACGGCTCTGAACTTATGTTGGAGAATGACGAAAAACGACCTCAATAAGCTATCGGTCTTCCACACAAAGAGTCTGAGAGGAATATGCCACATTTTCTGGCCAAACACCATTTCAAATGAAGCACTGTATGACCAATGACATCAAGACAGCATGGAGAACATTATCATGAGAAGAAGGTGGAGATGGATCGGACATGTAATGAGAAAAAACATAGATGGCATCATACGAACAGCCCTCCACTGGACACCAGAAGGCAAAAGAAAGAGGGGACGTCCTAAAAACACTTGGAGGAGAAATGTGGAAGGGGAGATTAAAGACCTGAACCACACATGGGATACCATCCAAAGACTGGTCCAGGATCGGAAGGAGTGGAAGACTTTTGTTGCTGCCCTATGTGCCAGGAGGCATAATGGGCAGTAAGTACAATTTCCATCAGAAGGGTCATTACCTTTTTTGTTGTTGTTGAATGTCAGACTTGTATTCTCCAAAAGGCAGTTTACATTAATCTGCATCTGCTATTAATGTACTGAAGGTATTCATAACTCTGATTTCATGTGCACGAGAACCCTTAGTCAGCAAGTTTGTGGATATGGTACACTTTTGGTAAATTCAGGCCTTTATTAAAATTGGTTGTAAACAAAAATACATGACATATTTTTCATATCAATCAAACGGATATTGATTATAGATCAAAACAATGTAAGTCTTATACACACTTGAATTTCAACTGATCAGCACATGCGTAGTTTGCTTTCCTTCCATGTTTCATGATTATTTCTACATATTCAGTGAATGTCCTTTAAAAAACAAAAGTATGTTTGGAATTTAAAAGAAACTTGTATACATGTGCATCATATAATCACTATTACTCTTTTTTCGTGACCCTTTAAGTTACATATTCATTAGTACTCACATACCTGTATGGATGATGCATTTGCTTTCAATACAGAGTAGAACTCCTCGTGGAGACGCAATCCAAGTGTCAGTTCAGTCAGGTTTGGCATAGAACACAGTGCTTCTGCAAGGTGTTGTGACGAGGCTGGTGAGGAACACCGGAGATGTAGCTTGAGAGCCTGGACCTGCATTGTTTATGAATTTAATTAAGCAGTTTACCCATACATGCAGGCGCGTACGCAGGATTTTTTCAAGGGGGGGGTTTTAACATTTATAAATCGGTCCGAAAATTTCGCAACGACTCAGCCAGCCGCTGAATAAGCGGGGGGGGTAAGAGGACACATTTTTTTTTTTTTTTGGTCCCAAAAAAAATCGCAACGACTCAGCCGACCGCTGAATAAGCGGGGGGGGGGGGGGGGTAAGAGGACACTTTTTTTTTTTTTTTTGGTCTCGAAATTTGGAAATTTGACATTTTGCTCCGTTGGGGGGGGGGGTAAGGTCACCTTTTTTAGGTCGGCCATGGGAATAATTTTTTTTTTTTTTTTTTTTTTTTTAATAATAAAAAAAAAAAAAAAAAAAAAAAAAAAAAAAAAAAATCCAAAAGGGGGGGGGGGTTTTAGGTTTTTTTTAGGGGGGTTTACACACAAAAATTTTCCAAAGGGGGGGGTTTAACCCCCCAAACCCCCCCCCCCTGCGTACGCGCCTGCATACATGCATATATTTAATCAAATATTTTCTCGTCTTCTTACTTTTAACAGAAATTTTATTTATTACATATTTGTTTTCATAATAAAATTCTCAACAAAACTGATTGAATAGGTTTTATTTTCAAATTTAAATTTGTCTTTTAAAAAAAAATTCTATGGAGGGGATGATTAGTAAGAGTGATTTTGAAATATTACTATAGTGTATTCTTTATAGGGCTTCCAACCGGTTTACATTGATAAGTCCTACTCCTAATAACACTGAAATAAATAATACCCAGAATATGCATTTGCTATTAATTAATGTATAAAGGTATTCAGAACTCTGGATTTCATGTGCACAAGACCCCTAAGTCAGAAGGTTTGTTGCTATGGTTCAGTTTGGTAAATTCAAGCATTTATCAAAATTGGCTCTTAAAATACTTGATGACATTTTTTCCCCTATCAGTCAAACTTAGAAAAAAGTTGGATATTGATTATTAATCAAAACAATGGAGATCTCATACATCCTTGAATTTCAACTGAATCAGCTTAAGTTTAGTTTGCTTTCATTTCATGTTTCATGACTATTCCAATTTACAAAGTGAATAGCTTTTAAAAAAGGGTGTTTGGGAAAGAAAACATATATATATACATGTGCACCATATAACTATTACTGCTGTTTCTGTTGATCAATGAACCCTCCATGAAATTTACGTTAGGACATGCATACCTCTATGGATGATGCATTTGCTTTCAATGCAGAGTAGAACTCCTCATGGAGAAACGCTCCAAGTGTCAGTTCAGTCAGGTTTGGCATAGAACACAGTGCTTCTACTAGGTCATATGATGAGGCTGGTGTGGAACACTGGGGATGAAGTAGCTTGAGAGCCTGGACCTGCATTGTTTATGAATTTAGTTAAGCAGTATATCTACATGCATATATTTAATTAAATATTTTCTCATCATCTTCTTACTTTTAACAGAAATTATATTTATTACATTGTTATATTCATAATAACATTCACAACAAAATTGAAAAGGTTTATTTTCAAACTCAAATTTGTCTATTAAAAAAAAGAACACACAACATTTTCTATGGAGAGGGTGATTAGTAAGAGTGATCTTTAAAATAATACTATGTGTATTCTTTATAGGGCTTTAAATCTGTTTGCATTGATCAGTCCTACTACTATAATAACGCTGAAATTGATAATACCCAGAAATATGCAATTGCTATTGATGTAGTAAAGGTATTCAGAACTCTGGATTTCATGTGCACAAGGTTTGCTGATATGGTTCAGTTGTGTAAATTCAAGTCTTCTAAAACTTCTAAAAGTTTGGATATTAATTATTGATTAAGACAATATTAATCTCCTACACACTTAAAATTCAACTGAATCTCCACATGCATAGTTTTGAATTTAATTCAATTCAATATGTTTGGCATGAAAAGAAAATTCTGCTTTCTTTCTATCAACATCCCCGTCCATGAAATTTACATTAGGAAACACATACCAGTATGGATGATGCCTTTGCTTTCAATTTAGAGCAGAACTCCTCATTGAGATCCATTAGAAACAGTGTCAGGTCAGTAAGGTTTGGCATAGAACACAGTGCTTCTACTAGATGATGTGATGAGGCTTGTGTGGGATAGTCGAGATCAAAAAGACCGAGAGTCTGGATCTGCATTGTTTTTGTTTGTTTTTTGTAAAATGAATTTATTGATAAATATATGCTTTTGAACAAATTAAAAATCATGCACAATCAATTGGATCAAACAATCATACACAATGGATCTGCATTGTTTGTCGATAAAGTTAAGTAACTCTTTCAAAATGTCTCATTGCATTCGTCTATTTATCACCAAATATTACATAATACAGCTGTACTAATATTCACATTCTTAACAATAATAATTGAATAATTTTTTTTTCTTCATGCAATTGATTATTTAAGTGGTCTTCCTCTTCTTCTCAAGTCACTACGCCTCAAAGTTCACTCTTGTTTAGATTGTCCCAATCCAGAGTTGCATGCATTGCAATGGCAATTATTGCAATTATTCAAAAAAGTGACAAGGACATACACAGAACTGTTAAAAGAAATCACTTGTTTGCGATGCCGGAGTAATAAGATGGCTAATGTTTGCATCATGGTTCTATGTGGACAACACCAAGTCATTATGCAATACCATGCAGGTCAATGGATATATATGTATGTACAGTGTCTACTCTGACATAACAATTTTACTCAAATGGCAGCTCCCAGGTGTAATGTATACATCCAGAGTGCTTTTAAAGGTGGTACGTAATTCGTTAATGTAAATGGTTATTCAAAAATAATCTCTGCTTGAATCAAGTAAGCGATAGAGTTATAATTTTATTGATTACTGTTGTTGATGAATACTGTGCAAAAATATATTATATCAAATATTACACATGATATTCTATACAGAGTTGCATGCATTGCAATGGCAATTATTGCAATTATTCAAAAAAGTGACAAGGACATACACAGAACTGTTAAAAGAAATCACTTGTTTGCGATGCCGGAGTAATAAGATGGCTAATGTTTGCATCATGGTTCTATGTGGACAACACCAAGTCATTATGCAATACCATGCAGGTCAATGGATATATATGTATGTACAGTGTCTACTCTGACATAACAATTTTACTCAAATGGCAGCTCCCAGGTGTAATGTATACATCCAGAGTGCTTTTAAAGGTGGTACGTAATTCGTTAATGTAAATGGTTATTCAAAAATAATCTCTGCTTGAATCAAGTAAGCGATAGAGTTATAATTTTATTGATTACTGTTGTTGATGAATACTGTGCAAAAATATATTATATCAAATATTACACATGATATTCTATACAGAGTTGCATGCATTGCAATGGCAATTATTGCAATTATTCAAAAAAGTGACAAGGACATACACAGAACTGTTAAAAGAAATCACTTGTTTGCGATGCCGGAGTAATAAGATGGCTAATGTTTGCATCATGGTTCTATGTGGACAACACCAAGTCATTATGCAATACCATGCAGGTCAATGGATATATATGTATGTACAGTGTCTACTCTGACATAACAATTTTACTCAAATGGCAGCTCCCAGGTGTAATGTATACATCCAGAGTGCTTTTAAAGGTGGTACGTAATTCGTTAATGTAAATGGTTATTCAAAAATAATCTCTGCTTGAATCAAGTAAGCGATATAGTTATAATTTTATTGATTACTGTTGTTGATGAATACTGTGCAAAAATATATTATATCAAATATTACACATGATATTCTATACAGAGTTGCATGCATTGCAATGGCAATTATTGCAATTATTCAAAAAAGTGACAAGGACATACACAGAACTGTTAAAAGAAATCACTTGTTTGCGATGCCGGAGTAATAAGATGGCTAATGTTTGCATCATGGTTCTATGTGGACAACACCAAGTCATTATGCAATACCATGCAGGTCAATGGATATATATGTATGTACAGTGTCTACTCTGACATAACAATTTTACTCAAATGGCAGCTCCCAGGTGTAATGTATACATCCAGAGTGCTTTTAAAGGTGGTACGTAATTCGTTAATGTAAATGGTTATTCAAAAATAATCTCTGCTTGAATCAAGTAAGCGATAGAGTTATAATTTTATTGATTACTGTTGTTGATGAATACTGTGCAAAAATATATTATATCAAATATTACACATGATATTCTATACAGAGTTGCATGCATTGCAATGGCAATTATTGCAATTATTCAAAAAAGTGACAAGGACATACACAGAACTGTTAAAAGAAATCACTTGTTTGCGATGCCGGAGTAATAAGATGGCTAATGTTTGCATCATGGTTCTATGTGGACAACACCAAGTCATTATGCAATACCATGCAGGTCAATGGATATATATGTATGTACAGTGTCTACTCTGACATAACAATTTTACTCAAATGGCAGCTCCCAGGTGTAATGTATACATCCAGAGTGCTTTTAAAGGTGGTACGTAATTCGTTAATGTAAATGGTTATTCAAAAATAATCTCTGCATGAATCAAGTAAGCGATAGAGTTATAATTTTATTGATTACTGTTGTTGATGAATACTGTGCAAAAATATATTATATCAAATATTACACATGATATTCTATACAGTTCTACAAAATTTGATGTTTAGCTGCAAAAGGGACATAGTATCTTTAAAAGAAGTCAACGCAAAGCCTACCATCCCCTTGCCGGGAACAAATGGCATATATTTAGCAATGTTTGCATATTTAATGAGCTGTGTCCTTCGAACTTACGAACTTAACAATGTTACTTAAGTTATTGAATGAAAACCACATTTTTGCATATATAATTAGGTATTTGGCATATTTAATGAGCTTTGACCTTTGACCTACATATTCCGAAATTGAGCTGTGTTTTGATACCATTTACCTTCATATCAAATTTCAATAAAACCTGTCAAACATTACCAAAGTTATCGAACAGAAACCAGATTTGATACTAAAGGATGGACAGAAGGACAGACAGCAGCGTTACTACGTCCTTATATTACTAGGCAAGGAAGTTATAAACCACATTTTCACATATATAACTAGGTTTTTTTTTTCATATTTAATGAGCTATGACCTCTCACCTCTGACCTACATACTCCGAAATTGAACTTAGGCTGTGTTTTGATACCATGAACCTCCATATCAAATTTCATTAAAATCCGTCAAACATTACTAAAGTTATCGAACAGAAACCAGATTTGCATATTTCATGAGCTATGACCTTTGACCTACATACTCCGAAATCGAACTTAGCCCGAATTTTGATATCATGTACCATCATATCAAATTTCATTAAAAGCCGTCAAACATTACTGAAGTTATCGATTGGAAACCAAATTTGTTACGAACGGACGGAAGGAGCCCGGACGGATGGACGGACGGCAGCGTTACTATATCAACCGGCGAGGGGATAATAATCTTTAATCGGATATTGCTCATACTTTCACTAATTTGTTTCTCTTATTTTTCTGTTTTTATTAAAACCAACATAGTATCAGGGTGGCCTTCCCCTTTAAGTATGTTGTGATCTTCCTACATGTGAGTTTCTTTTAGAGCATTCAAGTTGTATAAGCATACAACTGTTTACATGGTGCTCCCCGCCCACCCTCTAGGTTTCCACGGTTTAGTATTCCCGCTTTAGTGAACACTGCTGCCGCCTTAGTGAAAAGACCATCGATATATCCTTCTAGTAAAAGAATCATTATATATGAGACAATTAAAGGAATTAAAGAACAGTATAATGTAGATTAGAAATGGGAAGAGATGGTGATGGAATGAAATTAAATTAAACACTCACACATACATGTACATCACAATTGTGGATGAACTGCTCACCTTTGATTCTTTTGCTTTCCTTGCAAGTGTTGCAAAAAAACAATGATGTAAATCGCAATTTGTAAGAATAACATCCTTCAAGGATGGCATGAAGCATATTATCTCTGCCACATCAAGTGACGTAGTAGGTCCACAATCTCTCTCAATCTCGAGTTTAACCTGGATAAAATGACAAAGTGGTTACTGATGTGATATAGAATATGGACGTTCACTTGGATGTTAGGGATATAAATGTATAAGCTAAATCAGCGGTTGCCCTAGATGTACTGCTAGAACTACAGAGAATAAGAGGGAAAAGGAGATTATGACATTACAGGCTGCATTGCCACAACATTCCATACCAAATTCTTATTTTTGCAACAGTATAAATAACTCATTATAGTTTGCCAATTACTAAACAGAGAAACCTTCAACAAAATAAAAGGAGAGTATATAGGTCTAGAAATAGGCTGCAAAAAGACTACTTCCATTTTTTTCCTTGCATGTTCACACCATCTGGTGACTCATACCTTAAAGATAAACTCCAGTTCTGGTAAAAAAAAAAAAAATTAATTCTCACAGAATCAAACGAAACTTACACTGAATGTTCAAGAGTACAAATAAATGACATGTGCCAAACAATTTTGGAAGAAAATGTATACTGGCTGAGTAACGAGCATAGAAAGACAAGGAAATCAAGTTAGTACTAGCCCCGACACCATGTGTGTTGTCCCATATATAGCTTTCTGTGTACGGTGCTTGTTACTTTACCAAGACTCGGTCAAATTTATTATGATTTTGATGACTCCAGAACCTTGCAGTGCACACCAATACTTACATGCTTCATGATCAACTGTTTATGATCCTTTCCACACCTTTTCTTTCACAATGCAATCGCATTACCAGTACTAAAGTTTATCTCATTTATGTTCATATGAACATGGTCACTAAATTACAAGGGTGGATAAGGAGCAAAAATTGAGGCTTTCAAGAAGAAAAGAAGTAAAATGTTGATACCCCCTGAGCAAAATATTCAGTCTCACCAAGGGAGAGTGAAGATGAACTGATCTACAGTGATCATAGTCCTCCAATCAATCTCAAGTTATAAAGCTACATTGCCTATATCACATGTATGTTAAGAGTTGCAAATGCCCCAGTTGCAACTGCTATCAAATTCAAACTGTGCTGCAACGATTCATATCAACAGCACCAAGTTTAGACAGGGCCAAGGATATCAGATAGATTCCTTTGTACATTGTTAGACATGTACAAACCATGAATTTGGATTTCAATTAGGCAAGAGATATTTTTGG